ATTCATTGTCACTGTAATTAACATTATTATTGTTTAATTAGCTCAGATGTAAAGAGTTAATGTGAGAGAGAGTGTGTTTTTGTGTGTGTGTGTGAGAGAGAGAGAAAGTGTTTTTATTATTCTTTAACATCTTGTAACTGTTGTAAAATCATAATGTATCAAATGCATAAATGTATCAACTCACTTCATACATAAACATTGCTTTCATTTTAATTAATAGCTTTAATGTTTTCATGAACCGTTAAAGGCTCTTGTTTCAAATCGGACTGGTCTCGTTGTTTATATGGAGATATGTAATAATGTAACATTTACAAGTGTAAAACATACTTTGTATACGTTTGGATTGATGCTGAAACTTGCAATATTGATGCACTGACAGCTTCTAACATGTTAACATGTATTATTATATACTAACAGTTTACAGAAATGTAACATAATTGCAATTAAATTCCATTAATTCATTATTCATAGATTAAATAAGGATATGTAATGTCATGTGCAGGGCTCCATGTGAGCTAATTAATCAATAATAATCTGTTAATTACAGTGACGGTGAATGAAGAACTCATTATTTGTTTACAGCCAGTATTAACAATGTTGAGGCTACACTTTAAAAACGAAGTTTTCAAATGTTTTATAAGTGCTTTGTTGCTGTATGCTTATTATAAAGTGTTAGCGAATCACGCAGCGGTAAACTTGCTGGTTTGGTTCATCATAATAGATATGTAGTAATATTATAATGTCTCTAAGGCTCCAGCTGTGGCTGTGAAGCGGTCGATCACGGTCAGGAAAATTGCACCCAGGAAAACTCAGGTAATTCTCATAAACTCTTCCCAGTATCATGTTTATGATTTTTTGGGGGGCTGTACCTGAAATGCGTGATGTGGTCATGTGGAAATGTTCCTCTAGGCGCTGTGTGACAGTAACAAGGAGAATGTGGAAAGATTATCTGAAGCATCAGCGCCCAGCACAGCGGTCCTCTCGCCCATCCTGCCTCCTTCGTCTCCGTCTGCGCAGCCCAAAGAACCGGAGCAGGACCCCGTTTGGCCCCAGAAAGTGCGGCGCTCCTACAGTCGCCTGAGTGTGGGGGACAGGTCCTGCGACAGCCCCAAATCCCTTCCTGCACCGTCCACTCCTCCCAACACCCCAGAGACCCTGTTTGGGTTCGAGAGGCTTCAGACGCCAGAGGTGATGCGTAAAGCAGAGGGATCTCGACCGGCTCCTCTGGGCTCCATGTGCTTCTCAGTGGGTTCCTTCAACATCTCCGCTGCTGATGACAGCGCGTCCAACCCTCCAGAGATCGATCCCAACATCCCGGGGGTGTGTCTGGGGAAGAAGACGGCCAGGAGGAAGCGCGTACAGCAGATAAAGGTGAGCAGGACATGCTGATATAAACATCTCATGAAGTTTAAAGGTGAAGTGTGTAACTGTGTATGCTCTTAAAGGAATAGTTAAACCCAAAAAATTAACACTTTCTGAAAATTTACACACTTTCAGGTCATCCGAGATGTAGATGAGTTTGTTTCTTCATCAGGTTTGGAGA